TTACTGTCTACATAATCGACTTCGTGCTACACTGGGACTCGATTAGAGAGGGCCCATCCTGCTTGGCTCTACTCCGTTTTGATCCCGTAGTCAGCTGCAGAGTTATAGATGAAGTGACAAGGATGGTATCTTGATTGTATCCAGCTGCCTGGAGTAAGTCAAGGGCAGAGAGGCCCCGCCTGAGGAACAGCGCTCACTAACGGCTCCGAAGGAGTCTGAAATTCAGGACACCTCTGATGCTTTTAGAACAGCATAGTTTAGCATTCTGTGACCCAGTGTCACTCAATTAAGTCCCTGTGGAGAGAAGTCTGATAAGTGCCTTCAGCTAACAGGAAGAAGATTGAAATCCTAACAGGGTTTGACCCTAAAACGGAGCCCGTGTTGTTAGGGTTGCTGCAAACAGGGGCTTGAAAAGAAGGACCCTTGGGAAGGTGCACAGATTGGAGACTCAAAAGTAGCCTCGGGGTGGAGGAAATGCGGCTTCCGTCCAGCAGGGGTGCCGACCGAATGGATGCCTCCCTGTCCCACCCAGCCCTTTCCCCCCACCGCGCCCATCCCTGGTGGGTAGTGTAGTGACTTGTGCTTGGAGCCTTTCAGAACCTCTGTAATTCCACGCAGGGGAACCGTGCATTGTGGTACCAGTGTGACTTGAACGGGCAGGTGCTCGCTGCTGACGAAAGGAAGCTGGCAGTGCCTTTAATGGAGTATGCCCGGGCCCACAAACCAAACAGAAGCTACGGCTCCCATACTGTGTTGTCGCTCTGGGCTCTGTAAAACTGTAATAGTATCATATTATTTTAATCTACTGAAATCCAAACCCCGGAGTAGGAACACAGCAGTAGCCTCACGCATCTGAGGAAATGTTTGACATGGCTTCGTTTGTCTGCAGCTCTTCTGATGGCGGCTGTGGCTGATTAACTCTGTTGGGTACAACATGGTGTTAATGAGGCCAAGGCTGTGGGTTTGAGACGCCTGGTACGTGAACTGGTTTCACGCAAAGGAAACCCCAGACCACGCTCAAGACCCAGGTCAGATATCCCATAAAAGCATGTGGACGATCACAGGAGGACTAAGGGAGGGCGGTGTAATGACTCAGCGAATATCCCTTACCCGCTTCTGGAAAAGCAGTTTAAAACATGTGCTTTAGCAATAGTGAATTATTACTGTGATCTTCACGTGCAAAGGATATCACATTATTATTAATGGTAACCGTTGATCAGTACTGTCGCAGACTTCCTTTCTGAATTAAGGAGAACACTGGCCCGGCCTGTGAGGGAAAGAGACAGCATCTTCAGTCCCTTCTTTTAGTCTCAGCTTTTTTGCCTGCCGAGATTTTGCCCATTCGTGCATTCCGTGAGTGTGTATGGACTGCTGTCCTGTGCAGGCACTGCTCTTTGTGCTTGGGAAACTGCAGGGAATAAAACGAAGCCTCTGTCTTCATGGAGATTAAATTCTGTGGGAGGAAAATAGGTGGTAAATAAGGAAACAGTAAATAACCAAAACAATTCCAAAAAATGAAAGTTTGGTGAAGGAAAGGATGGGGTAAAAGATGTGATGAAGAATGGCTGGGAGGGAGACAGTGTTCACCTTGGGTAGGAAAGGCTGAAAAGGCCTCTTGAAAGTAGGTGACATTTAAGCAGAGACCTGACTGGTGAGCAAGAACGAGCTTTCTGAAGAGCTGGGACAACATTCCTGGCAGAAGAAATAGAAGCAGCGGTCATGATTCCAGAACAGAGAGTCCACTGAAGTGTGGGAGAATGTGGTAAGAGGAGAGGTTGGGGGAGTGGCTGGGCCCTTTAGAGTACGCTAAGGAGTTCGGCTATTATTCTTGGGCAGCGGGAATCCATTTTTTGTTTTGTTTCAGGGGTGGAACAGTTCTTAAAGATTTTGGGGGATATTGGTTGATGTGTGTCCCCCTAAAAAGTTATGTTGAAATCCTCACCCTTAGTAACCTTATTTGGAGATAGGATCTCTTTAGAGGTAATCAAGTTAAAATGAGGTCATTAGCGTGGGCCCTAATCCATTTTGACTGGTATCCTTATAAAAAGGAGAAATTTGGACACAGACACACACACAGAGGGAGGAAGGCCATATGAAGAGAGAGGTTAGGAGTGATGCATCTACAAGCCAAGGAATGCCCACGATTGACAGCCAACCACTGAAGCTAGAAAGCAGCTAGGAAGGATCATTCCCCTGTAGGTGTCAGAGGGAGCATGGCCCCGCCAACACCTTGATTTTAGACATCTCGATTTCTGTTGTTTTAAGCCACCTGGTGTGGTGACTTTGTTACAGTATCCCTAGCAAACTACAGAAGGGAAGGGGTGCTGGCAACTGGCTCTGCCCTGGGGAAAGCAATGATGCATCGTCCCTGGACTCAGTGACATGTGGGCGTTGGGGAAGCGTCCACTTGCTGCAGCACATGACCATACGACTTATATATATGTGGCTAAATATGTGACAAAGATAATACTAATTTAAAATACATATATATATATTTATACACAAACACACACACACACACACAAAATAGGATACAGCCTGTTCATTGAGTTACCCTTAACCAGATCTTTCTCAACTTAGCAGAGGGTTACCCGATAAACCCATTGTAAGTTGGGGCACCTGGGTGGCTCAGTCAGTTAAGCATCTGACTCTTGATTTTGGCTCAGGTCATGATCTCAGGGTCATGAGATTAAGCCCCGTGTCTGGCTCTGTGCAGAGTCTGCTCCTCTCCCTGCTTGTATGCGGTCTCTCTCTCTCTCTCTGTCTCTAAAATAAATAAATAAAAGAAATCTTTTTTTAAAAAAGTGCTCAGAGCACTTACATTAGCCTACAGTTGGGCAAAATCAAACACAAAGCCTATTTTATAATAATAAAGTATTGAGTATCTCCTGTAATTTACTGAATACTGAAAGCCAAAAACAGAAGAGTTGTCTGAGTAGAGGTTGGTTTTAAGTGTACTGATTGTTGACCCTCGTGATCGTGGGGCTGACTAGGAGCTGCTTCACTGCCAGTGCCCCGCATCATGAGAGAGGATCGTACCACATACTGTGGGCCCAGGAAAAGATCCAAATTCAAAAATTCAAAGTAGGTTTCCACTGAATGCATATTGCTTTTTTACCATTGTAAAGTTGAAAAATCATAAGTTGAGCTATTATCAGTTAGGGACCATCTGTTCTCTAATATTCTTTTAGGAAAGTCCTGTTAGAGATACTATGTAAATAATGGTTTGGAAGGGCGAGAGTGGAAGCAAGGACATGAGTTAGAGGCCTGATAACAACAGTCTAGGTGAGAGATGATGGTGGTTTGAGCTAGAGAGAGGGGTGGGAGAATTGGCCAGAGGTGGTCAGAAGTAGAGCCAGCAGGACTTGCTGATGGATGGGGTGTGAGGAAGAAGGAAAGGAAGGTATAAAGACTGACTTCTAGCTTTTTGGCTGGGGCAGTCAGGTAGATGATTTACTGAGATGGAGAGGATTGAGAGAATGGCTTATCCAGGGATAGGGACTCGAGTTATGCGTTGGACATGTTAAGTTTGAGATGCCTATTGTTTATCCAGTTGAAGGTATTAAGTAGTTGGTTTTCTCAGGAACATTCTGGGCCAAACAAATTTAGAGGTCAGTATAGTAGAGAAGGTATTTAAAAGTGATTGAAACTAGTTGAAATAACTCAGATTGTTTAAAGAAGAGACTAGGGCACAGGACTGGACCCTCAGGAGCTCTGTTGTTTAGAGGCCCGGTAAAGGATAAGGAATCATGGTTGCTGAGAAGTGGCACCATGAACAGCTGCTAAGTTGTCAATGCTCCTTAAAGGCACGAACTTACTCTTCTTTCAATTAAGGTTGAACTAAATTATACAGAAATACATGGGGAAAAATACTGGAAGTACCCCACCCCCAGTATACCAGATTCTGTTTCATAAAACTGTATCTTAAGAGCCTTCCCAAATATGGAGATCAAGTCTTTGTTTTCAGTATGTTACAGATTATAGAAACAGACACATTCTCTATACATGAGGCTTCTAAAAGGTCATGAAGATGACTGTGTGCTCCAGGGAATTAGGGTTTTAAAAACATTTGTTTTAGAAACAGACTTTCTGGGGCATCTGGATGGTTTAGTCAGTTAAGTGTCCAACTCTTGGTTTCAGCTCAGGTCATGATCTCAGGGTAATGAGATCGAGCCTCACATCAGGTTTCGCTCTGGGTGTGGAGTTGGCTTAAGGCTTTCCCTCTGCCCCTCCCCACCGCTTGCTTGCTCGCTCTCTCTAAATAAATAAATAAATAAATAAATCTTTAGAAACAGAGACTAAGTTTTCACAATCGCCAAATTTACTAGAAATGGGGACAGTCTGTTAAGCGTCTGCCTTCGGCTCAGGTCATGATCCCAGCATTCTGGGATCCAGCCCCTAGTGAGGCTCCCTGCTCAGCGGGGAGTCTGCTTCTCCCTCTCCCTCTCCTTCTGCCCCCATTTGTGTGCTCGTTCTCTCTCTCTCTCTCTCTCTCTCTAATGAATAAAATCTTAAAAAAAAAAATAAATGAGGACAATCGAATTGCACGGCCATGTATTCTTCATGTGTGCATGCATTAAGAATGGAGGCGGCTCAGTCGGTTAAGCGTCTGCCTTCAGCTCAGGTCATGATCCCAGGGTCCTGGGATCGAGTCCCGCATCGGGCTCCCTGCTCCGCGGGGAGCCTGCTTCTCCCTCTGCCTCTGCCTCTCTCTCTCATGAATAAATAAATAAAATCTTAAAAAAAAAAAAAAGAATGGCACCTGTTTCCTTCATCATTAGTTAAGAGAGTACCTACCTTGGCCCAAATAAGTGAGCTGTTACTACATGACTTGAAATTTCCCAGCAACAGCAGGAGGATTTGGAGTAAATTAGAATCCACATCTATCTTTGAATATTGATAGAATACCTAGCCCCTGTTTAAGGAAACCTCTTCAGAAGCCCATCCCAACCTTAGCTGGTGAAGAGCTGGCTCTGGGAGTTTGTACCGTTTGGGTGACATAGCACTATGTTTGGTCTCTGTCTGAACTGGATGTGTTTCTTCCTCAGGTCTGGCGGGAGTTTCCTGACCGCTTGGTGGGTTACCCGGGCCGTCTGCACCTCTGGGACCACGAGATGAATAAGTGGAAGTATGAGTCTGAGTGGACCAATGAGGTGTCCATGGTGCTCACGGGGGCAGCTTTTTATCACAAGGTAAGGTGGGGGGGCAGGCTGGGCAAGTGGATCTGAGGTGACAAAACTGCACGCATGACACGTGTTCTGTGTGGCCCAATTGAATTTCTGCTGAGTTTAGGAAAAATGTCCTCCTCAGAGGGCCTACAGAGACCATGTTGTCGCGTGCACCAGCTATGCTTCAGTTAAAGAAGAAAGGTTATGTTGTGTGATGGTTTAAAGTTATTTTTCTTACTACATAAATAATGCACGCTCATAATAGAAAATATGGAAAATTCATAACAAATGTTACCATATAAGAAGAGTCACACACACACTCAAAAGTCACTCATAGTCCTATTACTTAGAGATAACCATTGTTATTGTATAGATGTTATCTTCAGCTTGCCTTTTATTCACTTATTCGCATGTACAGACAGTTGTAAACATGCTCATTAGCCTGCTTTTTCCATGTATTATGAGTTTATTAATAGCATTCCTTCATAACATAATTGCTAATATGCTGGGGTACTAATATCCATAAATCATGTGTAACTATTTTTCTATCACTGGATATTTAGATTGTCTCAAAATTTTTTGGCTATTTAAGATAATGCTTAATAGCTAACGCTTAAGTAGTGATTAATATCCATTTTCATAACTGTTTGTACTTGTGATCATTATGATAGATTTCTAGAAGTAGAATTATGTCAAAGGGACTGAACATTTTGGGGAGGTTTCGAGATATATATATGTCTCTTGTTTTCAGTATTGTTTATGCCAGTTTATACTCCCACCAACAAAATATAGAACTGTCTTACTATAACCCCCGCTTGCATGAAATACGTAAAAAGGGAAAATCAGACTGAGCTGTTTCGGTAAGTGAAAAAGGATCCTAACTGTTTCCACTTTGATTTGACTACTGTGGTTGAAATTCCTTTTGTGTATTTCCTCTCCTGAGAATTGTCACTTCACGTTTTTGACTTTTATTCGGGAGGGATTGAAAGAGGATGCTTGGGACTCTAGAACATTCAGGTTGAGGCTGGAGCGCCCCTGGCAGAGCGTGGCTGCCTTGAGCTGTGATGCGGGCTCCGTTGTCGGTGGCCGCACGAGGTGCTGCCAGCTGGAGTCTCCTCTGCATCTCTGGGCGCCCCAGTGCCTTGCACGGAGCCGAGGGGTGGTATAGTGATGCGTGTTGGTTTCTCAGCCCTGCTCTGTATTTTTAACAGCTCTCAATCCAGAAATGGGTTTTTGTTCTTAGCAATAAGTAAGTGAGGTTTATAATTCATGGGGTTTATGGATGTACACTGTGTACAGTCCCCCCCCCCCCATGAATTTCTGTACTATCTCATACATATAGGTTATGGCAGCTTCAGAACTGCCTCATTTTGGGGCACCTGGGTGGCTCGGTGGGTTGAGCGTCTGACTCTCGATTTCGGCTCAGGTTATGATCTCAGGGTCCTGGGTTTGAGCCCCTGCATCGGGCTCCACGCTCAGCTCCGTTGCCAGCCTACTGGTTTCTCTCCCTCTCCCTTGCCCCTCCCCCTCCTCACGCACACACATTCTCTCTCTAAAATAAATCTTTAAAAAAAAAAACGGAATTGGGCCTCATTTTACTTTAAAAAGCACACACCTTTGCAGTGTCAGTGCACCAGGAGTTTCTCTCTGTTTCTCTTTGCAGTCTGTTTTCTCCAGGACAGAACGTAGAACACAGGATTGAGCACTGTGGCTCAAGAGAAGAACAGAGTAGAGATCAGTGTGTAGTGTGTCTCTGACTGAGATTTTATTTATTAAACATATGATACATGAGTCCGGAAGGCCCTGCATCCTACAAGGGCTTCACACTCTGTCTCTCCTCTGCTTATAATAGGTGATTTTTAAAAGAATGACAGTGTGAAAGAATCTTGGTCATCTGACCAAAAGCATTCTAATACTTCTTATAGCCTTGTGATTAATCCTACAAGAGAAAGCTTGTCCCCATGCCATGATTAAGTTGTCCTTTGACTGTCAACCACGGGGCACTGCTATTTGAATCTTTCTTCTTTTTGTCTCACCTGACAGTATTTTAATTACCTATATACCTACAAAATGCCTGGGGATATCAAGAACTGGGTGGATGCTCATATGAACTGTGAAGACATTGCCATGAATTTCCTCGTGGCTAACGTCACGGGGAAAGCCGTCATCAAGGTGAGACATCCCGGTCCAAGTCTGCCACTAACTTCGTGATCTTGTGCAAGTTTCTGTTTCTCGGAGCCTGAGACGTTCTCTGAAATATAAACGAAGCGTTGGGTTACATGAACTTTAAGCTCCCTTTTAACTTTAAGATTCTGTGATTGATCCAGTCACATTGTAACATTAAAGCTAGGCTTTGATAATTTAAACATATTTTCTTTTTTTATATGGTTTCTTTAGTTATAGTTTTTAATCTCCAGTATCAGAGATAAAGGCTGCGATGGTCAATCTACAAATCATGTTTTTAAAAACCTTTAATAGTATTCTCAAATCTGATTTGGAATCTAGATCTATTAAAGAATGCAACTTACATCTCTCTTAAGGTGGCTGGTTTTTATTTTTAAAGACATTGAGAAGATAAGTACACCTTATCCAGTTACAACTGTAGTTTTTCTAAACATTGTTTTTAAATATCAATCACGAGTTTTTGAAAGTACCTTTCCCATAACAAATTAAAAGCTGAGAGTACATAAGGATCACATGGGGATCTCTGTATCTGTAATGGGTGTCTATTCCTGAAATGTAGATTTTGCTTGAACCAGATCCCCAGATACAAAGAGAGTTTACTTCTTTTTATGAGTGGAATTGTCCTGACCTTTTTTCCGTCTGGATTAGAATTCCATAAAAAATGGGCAATGCTTCTAGGCCAGATTCCTATACTGGAGTCTTCCCATACTGGAAGCTTACATTGGAAGTGTGGTATGGCATTCCCCACTGATTGTTCATGCTATGAATTGATGGGAGAAGTTGGATTAAACCAAAGTGACCGAGGAAAGAGGAAGAGTCCCTGTCTGTGCTCTGCAAACTTGGTCCGGGCCTCCCCCTGCCCCAGCCCTCTGACTCAGTCAGCACTCACTGCAAGAAAAAGTGAAGCAATGTAAATCACAAACCTAGTTTTAAAGGAATCCCTCTTATCTTCAAAATTGCTTTTTGATGTGCTTCAAGATATTTTTAGTTGTGCCTGCTTACTCTGGACAGTCCTTCCGCCATCTGTGTACTTCTTAGCCTGGCCTTAGGTATCTAGCTTTCTCTCTTTCCCCCCACTCCCCATCCGCTACTGTTTACTTAGCTTCACTAGGTTAGGATAATGGTCTCCCTGGGTTTGCTAAGAAAATCATTAGAAGTTTAAGGTCTGGGAGAGCAGGAGGGAGAGTCAGGGAAAAGAATTCAGAGGGTGAGGGGGACCACTGGATTTTTTCCTGATTGAAAGGAATTGCAAAATAACCTGGCATCTTCAAGAGCATGGCACTGCTCGTAGCATTTGCCATTAGCTGGAAGAAGGAAAAAGAGTGTCTGTTACAGGAACTAAGGTTACGGTGAAAGTTATGGGAAGCTGTATTTCATCGCCCTTATGGCTGCAAGAACAAATGGTGTTTATACAAGGACCTTGGCAGTGAGAAAACAGTCATTAAACAGGAATTAAGGAGCTTGTCATCACCACTTCTTTCTAGTTACAGAAGGCAAAAGCCCTCCAAGCCTTTTTTATTGGGCCCTTGTGAGTTCTGCTGTTGGCCAAGCCAGACAGAATTGAATGGAGGAATGGTGAGGTGTGTGTGTCTGTGTGCGTGTGTGTGCGTGCACGCACACGCATGCGCGTGCCCGTATACGGGCGCTTGTATGCATGTGGAGGGAGCAGGCAGCTCAGCTTACAGAACAGAAGCGTGCACAGTGGTGTCACAAGCATGATTTTATTGTCCTTGGCACTGACAACCAGGTATATTTTTGTACTTCTCTGGCAGGTAACACCACGAAAGAAATTCAAGTGTCCTGAGTGCACAGCCATCGATGGGCTTTCGCTTGACCAGACGCACATGGTGGAGAGGTGAGTGAGCTCTAACCAGAAGTCTGCCCTAGCCTCTGATCCCCATTTCCTGCCTTGGGCCTGTTTATGGGATTTGTTGGAGATATAAGGACAGCAGCTGGTAGCCATAGTCACCTCCTTTTGCACTGTGGGAATTGGGTTAGTTCAAGCCCAGGTCACTCAAAGAATTAATTTGGAATGCTACTCACTCGATTTGTAATGGCTGGAAGGGTCTTAAAAATATAGCTGGCCTTAAGCTCCAGAAGTCGGATTCTCCATGTGGACTAAGCAGTTAACCGTCCACAGTCATTTGAGTGGAAGCTAGTTAATTCCAAGAAAATACTAGATTGTTCTGCAGGATAGTATCTCCATGTGACAGTAAAAGTTTGGTTAGAAAGAATTTAGCCAAACCCAGAGACAAATTACCTTTGCTGACCAAAACACCTACCAAGAACAGAATTGAAAGCACAGCTCTTTCCATTATAGAGTGAGAGAGAGAGCGGGGGGAACATGGCAGCTCTGAGATACTCCTTTTATTTCAGCCTTGTAGGTGGTGTAAAACAAACGGGAGGTGTACATCCTCCCTCAGGATCCTTATAATCCTAGAGTAGGCCTCATCGTTCTCACTTGTACCCCAAGGGTCCCCAAGCTTGGCATCTCCTGAATCAAACCTAATTCTCCCAAAAGGCAGCTCCTTATGTGAGACAGCAAGCTCGGACATCCAGTGACACTGTTGTCAAGGGACCAGGGCGCACTCAGAGAGTGCTGGAGTAGCCCTTATAGAATAAGATATCTAGTCAGGTGTCCACAGGCTCATATGGATCTTCTTGCCGCGTCCATTTCTAAAGCGTATCCGCCCTGTTCAAGTCTTTAAAGCCTGGAGGATTTTCTTGTACAAAAAGTTATTTCACTTGGCCTGGATTCTTCTATGATGCTTTCCTCCTCCTTATTTCTTATTCTTACCCTCTAAATAATCCTTTACTCTTTCATATATAAATATCTTACCCAAATGACATGACTTTTATCAACTGTCAATGTGAAATAATATATGATTTTGGAGATATCTGTCACTGGTATCATAGGAATTACACAGTCAAGGGCAGTGACATTAACTGTCATAGCTCATTTAGAAGAGACCCCGATTATAGTTATATTGGAGTACCTGAAACTGTTACTAAACCTACCTCCATTCTTTGTGTTTGGGAGAACTCATGGCATTAAGCTAGTGGGTAATTGATTGGGCTGAGTTAAAATGGTGTTATATTGTATAAGATAGGAATCTTAGGGAGAAAGGTTGGCTTGCAGTTCATGCTAGGGCTAAACAACTCTTCTCTAGCACCACTGAGATAACAAATGTAAAGAGACTTAACATGCAGTGAGAGAGATTTAAGTTAGATAGAATTATTATTGAACATTGAAGAAAGTAACTAAGGGAGATGTGGGGGCTTCCTCTTGGGAATAGGCTTTTGAAAATAGAATAGGCCACTGCCCAGATGTCGTTAGGCTTTGAATAAGATTCTGTCAGAGTTTATAATTAACAACAACAAATACGCATGTTAACAATCCAAAGCTAGGGGCATCTGGGTGGCTCAGTCGGTTGGGCGGCTGCCTTCGGCTCAGGTCATGATCCCAGGGTCCTGGGATCGAGCCCCGCATCGGGCTCCCTGCTCAGCAGAGAGCCTGCTTCTCCCTTTCCCTCTGCCTGCCGCTCTGCCTGCTTGTGCTCTATAACTCTCTGTCAAATAAATAAATTAAAAAAAAACAAAAAAAAACAATCCAAAGCTATATGTGATAAGTGCCTTAAGGGAGGCTCCAAATGTTATTGTTGATCAGGGGAAAGAGAAGTGACTTCTCGCTAGGTTGATTACTAGGAATAATTTTGTAAAGAGATGGCGCCTGAAGTCAGCCTTCAGAGATCACTAGGATCACTGGGCAAAAAGAGGAGATCGCAGGCAGGGGAGACTGGGTGGCCGAAGGTTCCAGTCATCAGGATGAAGGTGAATCTGGCAAGCAGTCAGGAGTCCAGTCTGCCTAGAGTGTAGAATTCTGGCCTGTTGGTGCTGGGCCCTAAAGAACTGCCCAGTGAAGGAGTCTGAACTTACTTCTTCAGGCTCTGATACACCACTGAAGGTTTTTGAACAGGGGAGCTTGATCAAAGTATTGTTTTGAGATTCACTTAGAAGTAGTGCACACAATGGAATGAAGCTAAAGAAATTGAAGAAAGCACATTTGGAAAGCTTGAACTAAGTTGAGTGTGGAAAGGAAGGGATGGATTAAATTATAAGACATGGGTTTATGGTTTTTGTTTTGTTTTTTTTTCCAAAGGAAGATATGCTAGAACTTGAGGTTATGGGGAAGGAATTGACAGAGGGAGCTTAGATCTCAAGTCAGGAAGAATGGTAGTACCGTCAACAGTGTGAATGATACAGTTAGGAGGAGACGCCGGTTAATGAGGAGGAAATGTGGATGGTTGCACCTTTAGCAGTGTACTTAATGAGGACAGGAGGAGATTTGAATCATGGGTGAAGTTGGAGAGCAGTAAGGTAGGTGAAGATTTGGGGGTCTTTCCCTCTGTATGTGCAGATGTAGATACGGAGCAAGCGTTTGGAAACATGGAACTAGACCTTCAGGAAGATGATGAAAGCAAAGGTAGATATTGGAAAGACATCTGCCCAGAGATGGCCATTGCCTGGAGAAAAGGCAAGGGCAGAATCTTGAGAAGCTCTGACATTTTGGAGACAGAAAGAATAACTGAAAACAGAAGCAGCCACTGGAGAGGCCAGGAGAGAAGCAGGATCTACAGTGCACGGAAGCAAGGGAAGCGCACAGAACATGCAGACTGGGGAAAGGGGCTTTGAGTTAAGTGGTCAGTGGTGACTTAAAAAAAAATAATGCCATAGAGTGATGGGGCCTATGGGTTATGGAGTGTGCGTCTGTGTGAGGAAGTGGAGTTAGTGAATGTAGAATACGCTTTTGAGAAATTTGATTACGGAACAGAGGACATCAGTCTTGAAATCAGAAACTGGGAGCAAAACTATTTGGATTAAAGATTGAATCACTAAATTATTAAATGAGGCACTTAGATTGGGAGGGAGGAAGGCATGATTTAAGCCATCTTGGGTAGACCAAGAGATGGAGTTACAGCTGTAGAATTGTTCATTTGTTGGGTTTTTTTTGTTTGTTTTTTTTTTAATAGTTCCCTTTGCAGAATTCCCATTTTGCACAAAACAGTGAAAAAAGTTAACCACTTTGCAAGTTAGGACCTTGTGTTAGGTTTTGTGGTTTAATAAGCTTATTTATTCTTATATTTGGGGTCTTGGAGCAGAAATCTCAGTTGTGTAGGAGTGTAGCTTTTACTGCCCAGCATCCATTTCCAGGATCTACTGTTAATTCTTTAAGAACCAGAAAACCAGAAGTCTTTGTAACTGTTCATTTTGACCAGTCGTTTCACCACGTTAAGGCAATATGGCAGACAGACAGTGCTGATCTTAGGAAAAAGAACACTGTATTTTGATTCAGGCCCATCTTTGTTCAAATTATGGGTTTGCCACTTAGTAGCTATCTGACTTAAGAAAACTGATTTGCCTTACCCTGAATTCCAGTCATTTCATCTCCTAAAATAGGTATATTAATATCTATCAAATTACAGTATCCATTCATGGGTTCAACAAATCCCTATTGAGCATCTTTGTACCAAACACTGTGCTATGTGCTGGAGATGAATGAAGTAATAACATTGGAAAGCCCGTAACCCGATGCCGGGCCACATGAGTCTCCTTCCCAGTTTCCCCAGCATTAGTCCTCAAGGCTCCAGGTTACTTTAGGTGATTGGATGTGTTTACAAGGAAAACAGAAAACCATGAGTCCTTTCTCCCGCAGACACTTCTAGCACTTCAGAGGTAGACACTGGCAGTTCTTAGCCCGTTTGTACTAGATTAGAAAACCAGCCTGGGGGAGCATTTACTGACAGGGTGGCTGGACCCCTGACAGAACAACTCAGGTGAGCCACCAGCAACCAGCCCAGCTCACCATCTGCCCCAGCCTGTGGCCCAACCCAGACCCCCTGTGTGAAAAGAAGGTAGGAAACACTGTCAGTACCTGGCAGGAGCGTTAAGGACCTTCACCCTTCAGTGGCCAGCGGCTTTTCCAGTGCAGGCTGTGTGGAGAGAAAAGAAGCACTCACCAGGCCTGGGTTAGCCAGGGGCAGTTGTCAACAAGTCAGCTGGCCTGAGCCCCAGTGGCCTCTTGCCCATGGCCCGGCCCTGTTGGCAGATCTGGTTACAGAGGAGACATTGTCCTCGCTGCGCTCCAGCGGGCTGTGGAGCCACTGTCCTCTGCCAAGAACCATGGCTCTTCTTTAATACATGCTCACTGGTACTTGTGCTGGACATGGCTGGCCTTTGCTGGCCAGTGTCTACAGGCACGATGACTGGAAACTGGAAGAATCCGTACATGTTTGTAGACAGAACAGCTGCCAAAAGGAAGACCTTGGAGAGACTGACTGTGTCTGCCACCGCCTTGACCCTGTCCTTGGAGGAGAGGGGAGTCGCTGTGCTCACTCGGTACCTCTTTGCGGACACTCCTCGGTCTTTCCCGGGATAACCTTGGACGCCCACCTCCTGAGTCTCACAAGACTGCCGGCAGGGGGGAAGGTCCGTTACCTGTGAGTTATAGTAGTGTGACGGAAAGCACAAAGGCTCTCTTGCCAGTGTAGACCTGCGTTAGAGACCCAGCTCCAGCACTTTCCAGCTCAGGGGCCTCGGGCCTCAGCTTTAACTGCTCAGCCGGTAACAGGAAGCTACTGTAAACCAGCCCTTGGGCATATCGAGGGGGCTGCTTTAAGGAATCCATGAAATCACGTTTGTAAGTTATCTGGCACGTAATAGGTGCTCAACAGTTAATTTCCAGCCCCTCCACTTGGACTCTGGAACTAGGTTGACAAATAAATTCATAACATCTCATCATTAAGATTTTTTAGTCTCAGGAGCCAGACTACCTGGGTTTGGCTCTGCGTCTTATTGTTATTTGACCTTTGGATATGTTACATGCTTCTCCATGTTTCAGTCTTCCCAGTGGAAAATGGGAATAATCATAGGACTTACCCATAGGGTTGTTGGCATGATGGAGGGGGTTCCTAATCTACGTGGGGCACTTGTAACACAGCCTGGAACCTCTGATGCATATTCACTGTTGACTTATGGTGGTGGACACAGTGGTGTTATTAGCTAGAAGAGCTCCAAATGAAATGGTAACACATTCTTTTAGAAACATAAGGACCAAGAGAAAAGAATTGATGACTGGCTTCTTTATTAATTGGTTTCTACCTAAAGCTCCAGAGACTCAAAAACTTGTGGATTAAAACAATTGGAAACAAGGCTTCCAGGATCTCAGGACAGAAGAGACTTTTCTGGTCTGTGTCTTGAAATTCAGCCCCTCTTGGGTAAATGGTTCTGCCTGATTGGCTTGTTCTTACTGTAGCTCTCGGGTGCCTGGGCCTGACTTGAGGGGAGACAGTACTGACCTTTTTGAAATCCATCCTGGAGGTCCCCTTAACTTCAAAAGCCATGTTTACGGGCTTGTTTTTCCTCTCTGGTCTGGATGCGTCCTCCCAGCTGTCACACTCAGTTGGCCTGATTGACCAGAACCCTTTCCCGCCAGCGTGCCTGACCCGCTCACCTCTGAGGAGGTTGCTCACGGGCTCCAGGGGTGGTTTGGAGGCAAGGACAGTGCCGTCTCCCCTCCCACAGAGCTGCGGGGCTGTTCTGTCACGAAGCCTGAGGGCGCTGCTCGCTCTGACATGGGAACGGCAGCTCTCCGTTGGCTGGCAGTTCAGGGATTGCCCTCCATGACTGTTGGTCGAGTGAGTGAGGGGTTTATTGTTTGGAGGTGAGGTTCCCCGCCTGTTATCTTCATCTGCCTTCCACTGCTCCAGGTGTAAGGTCCTCCTCTCAGCCTTTTAAACTTCAGTAAGCTGGAGCTCAGATCCAGGAGCCTCTCCACCCTTTGCCTTCTCAGTTCAGCTGGCAGACATGGGGTTAAGAATTGTTGGCAGCTAATCCACCTTGGTTTGAGGCCTGCTTGTCCTGAGGGGGGAAGAATGAGTGGAATTTGAGGGGGAAGGGAAAAGATACTCTGACCTCTGCAGGCCCGAGGCCTCCAGACAGCATCCCCTGTTCACTTTCTCCCCCTGAACAACAGTCCCAGTCCCCGCAGATCATTTCTGCTGTCCACACCCTCCCAACCTTTTGTAAGAACCTGGGAGCAGGCTGGGGACTCTTGGATTTCTTTTGTTGATACCTAATAGTATGTGTTTTGCTCTCATCTGTCAGCCTCTTGAATATTTTCTCTGTTTTCCTCACTCCTTTCCCTCTCGTCCATCACCTACCTCCTCTCCGCAAACCCCTCAGGTCTGAGTGCATCAACAAGTTCGCTTCCGTCTTTGGGACAATGCCTCTTAAGGTCGTGGAGCACCGAGCTGACCCTGTTCTGTACAAAGACGACTTTCCTGAGAAACTGAAGAGCTTCCCCAACATCGGCAGCTTATGAAACAGGCCGCTAGCGGAGGTCTGAATGTTAAGCTTGGACAGAGGAGAATACGGCCTCCCCGGCACTCTGATATCAGCGTGTGGGGGACCTTTGACTGACAGGCTGGACCGGGACACCTAACCTGCTTCCTCAAGAACCGGAACCTAAAGAAAGTGTCTAAGCACCTTATTGGTGTGTGCCCTGTTCTAGTGTTTCTTATGACCTCCGATGGGTTCTTGTTGAAAATGCCAAATTTTCAACCTTTGTGAAGCCTTTGTGGCATGCTCTGGGTTTAAATCCAGCTCAGACTCCCTTTGTTTGCAGTTCCAATAAAACAGTCTGGGAGGAAACGTCACTGACCCTAAGACTGCGGAGAAGACAAACCTACTGGCCATATTAGATTAGGGGAATCGTGTAGATCACGCCCATATCTCACCTTTAGCTATTTCAGATCAGTGAGGTTTTTTAGGCGGAAAGTCAAACCAAGAACTTGGTGCAAAATTCCAACATCTTCGTGGGATTTGACATCTGCCCTGGGACCGGGGGCACTGGGCCCGTGCATAGGCAGAGCACCGAGTGCTGAATTGGGATCCTGTAAGTTCCATGAACCATTCCTCTTTGGTTTGGCTTGTTGATATGATTAAAATTTTTTATTCCTTTTTATACTTATGTTTGAAATGCTGATTATTGGTAATCCAAGGAACGTTCTTTTTTGTGTGTAGTTAACTCCATCTTCTGGTTAACTTCAGTCTACCGTCCATGTCTAGGAGGATACATAGCCAGGAAGAGTATCCGGGGCCATGTGCGTCAAGTAGAAGATCCCCAAACTATAAACATTCTGAGAGAAGATGTCTCCCAAAACCTCCAAAGGAATCTGTTTGCTTCTTGATTAGATCCAGTCCATTTCCCTGAGTATTCTCAGGGAAAACAGAGACCTTCTAAAGCCATACCTTGAGATGCTCTAGCTGGTGCCATGCTGTAAATGTTGAGGGAGTTGTGATTCCCCACCCCAAGGGGATGCCAGAATTTCCCTCATTCTTTTGGTGTAAACTGAACGTTAGCCAGGGAGGTTCTGGCTAATGTTAAATGCTACTCTAACAACCGCTTTACAATAGTTGCCGGTATATTTAAATTGTTAAATTTTAGCATTTAGTAATATTGCACATGTGTGAAGTATACCTCTTTAAGCCCCGTTGATGAACAAATCTACTCTGGCAAATGTTAGATGTTATGGATTCGAAACAGATTTATCTGGCTCTAATATTAAGATTAGCCACAGTTTGGGCTTTAGCCATAACATATGTCCCCAGAACACAAAATACATAACAATTTGCCTGGAATATGGTTATAATTACGGAAACCTAGCTGTGTACCAGTCGAAGTCACTCATACACCACCCATTGTTCTCTCGAGTGACACAAAGGTGCATAGTTACCAAGCTACAGTTTTTAAACTTGTAGTTTTAACAAGAGTCACTTCAGCTGTGTTCCCATAGACTTTGAGAGGTCAAAGAAAACTTCAAGAAGTAGCAGAATTGACAGCGGGAATCGCGAGAGTTTCATCTTCTCTCACAATGAGGAGTGAGAGCGAGCACTGGACTGTTCCTGGTGGAAGGGACGAGATGCCGCCTCCTCCTGTATGTTCATGTTGCAGGTGCGGACACGGAAGCTGTGATTTGTCCAACGTGTTGCCTTCAAACACTGGTGCCTAAGAAATACTGTGGATTTGAATAATTACATTCTCGCCAGTAGGGGATATGGAAAGGTGCTTAGTCTCATATTCGTAATCCTGGGGATGGTAGGATAGAAACCAAGAGAAGGGGCGTTCTGTTGTCACCGACAGTGAGTACTGCTGCCCTTTCTGGGGTTCCCTAACTTGTCTCCCAAGATTCAGGGTGGGTGGAGGGGTTGGGCCTCACGTTTAAATTCTTGCCGGCAGCCGAGGACTGCGCCAACGTTGTATGCATGTCGTCCCCTCAGCCTGGCCCCCTCAGGTTTTCTGCTCTTTTTCATGTCACTGAATCCACTGCCTTAGTGGCTGGCTTGTAATCCAGGTCTCCCTCTCTGAAGATAAGTGTTTTCTCTTTCTTTTTTTAAAACGTTGTTAGCCCTTTCGTTTTGGAAGAGGAACATTTCAATCTGAGATGATTGGGAGCCCTGGGGGGCTGTGTTGGTGTGACTTTATCATCTTCTTAGGAGTCACTGGACTTCTCGGGGCATGAAACTCCATGCAAGGCGCCTCACTACTCCTAGAAATATTGCGGGTTCAATCTGGCAACATAGCATGGAACGATTTCTCTTACAGAATGAGTAGTATATCCTTGGCACTTGAAACCTCAACGTTTGTATCCTGTGAACAGACAGGTGGTACAGGCCACAAGGAGAAATCCGGGGCAGGGATACAGCCAGTGGTCATGATGCAGGGGTTCCGAGGGGGCTGGGGACTCCACCCCCTTCTCCGTGTATTTCTGAGCTGCTCACCAGCAAGCCTCACCCATAAGCTTGGGCTGGGATCATCTGCCCTTGGGATGCCACAGAGCCTGGTTTCAGAAGCGGAACAATAATGCTAATTAAAATGTCATGTTCTGGCCTACAGCAGACAACAGCTGGTTTTAGATTAAGAAATCTTTTTTAAGAAATTGCATCTTGCTGGCCTGAACAGAAGATGAACCTGAGCTGGCCCTGGCTCTGGCCCAAATGTGCACTTGAGTCACTCGCCTTTGCCCCCAGGGGCCTAATTGGGATGAGCCAGCTTGGAATGCAGGTTGGAAACCCTTTTTTGCTGGTTAACATTACCTAGTTCTTCATATTCTTATCTTGTAAATCTTAGCAAGCCTCACATGTGTTTAGGCAAGAACCTCCCTCTCTAGGAAAATTAAAGAGGAAAATCACAGCTTCTGTTCTCTGAATCTCTGGTTCGTTCCCGCAAACGATGTGCTACTGTCTCTTCTCCGTACTCAGTGTCGTGAAGTTCACAACTCTGACTACCTAGCTCCTCTGCCAAAGCCTCATGTCCTTTCAGCTGTGCTTCCAACTTGTGGTTTTCCGGGCTAGTTTCTCCGCTGCTTTTGGAAAGAAGTGGGCATCATCCTGACGCGTGCTGACCAGGACTGGGAGCTGGACGGGGCAAGCTGCCTCTTTGCTGTGATTTGTTGAAGGATCTACTAATCACCCTGTGGTGCCCCCAGCGGCTGCCTGGGATGGTGGTCTCTGGCCAGAGTGTTCCTACCACTGACAGATGCAGGTTTCTAGCCACAGGCTCTGAAGGTGTGATTGCCAGGGTAAAATTCAAGACCCTTTGATGGTAGATGTAACAAGTTAGCTGAAGGCAGAGGCCACTTGGGAAGTGGCTCAGGTTTGGTGAGACTTCGTGGCTGGCCAGTGAGAGGGTCCCATGGGAGCCCAGCTGGGAGGGAGAGGTTTGGGCTGACAGAGGTTCCCCGTCAGCCACCCATCCTGAGCCTAGTGGGTCTCCTTTGCTTTGGGGCCATTAGCTTCTTGTGGGGTAGGCTCCCTTTTCCACCCCTTGTGGCCCAGGTAGCCTGTTGCAGCAGCAGAAGCCGCGGCAGGCTGCTTCCCAGGCAGCCCTGGCACAGAAAGGCAGGGACAGAGTGCTAAACTGGCCCCCAGCCTCTCAGCCACTTCCTGTGGGGCCATTCTGGCAGGGGTGCTCACCATCCTGGCATGCAGCTGCCCTCCAGGAAGACTCTGGAAGCAACCTGAGCTTTCCACTGCAGGGCCTGCAGGCATATGAAACCAGGGGCCTGTCTACTCACCTCAGCCCTGCTCTGTTCTAAGCCCTGGGGCTCCTATCTGAGGCCAGTGTTTGATACACACCATCTTCTGAGTATAATCAGGGACAGCTTGTGGCCCCATTGTGCCCACTAAGCATCGTCTGACGACCTGGGAACAGATTTCATTGACCTTCTCCTGGCAGAGAAAAATTAGGTAGGACTCTACTCACAGTGTTAAGGTTTTCCCCTCTTTAGGGTGGGAGCATTCTAAGCCCAACCCACAACCTCTCATCCACCTTTGTCACTGTCAGATGGACTAGTCAGGGGTTTCAGTCTCAGGCTTTGTGACTTCCAGGTTCCCGGGGACGGGGTGTGGGTCTGCACAGGCAGCTCTGTGCCACGGCTTTTCATTTCAGGCTCACCATTGTTGACAAGACAGGGAAGATGACTGGGCAGAGTTGGCCCCCCACCCTCCCAACTTTCCAGGCCTCTCTCATTTTCAAGAAAACAGTTGAGTCACCAGCATCTGTGTCTGGCATTTTGTTCCCACAAATTTACAACCTTTTCAGGGTAGAGTTTTCTTTTTTCTAGTCCCAACTAGTTGGGCCCCTGATTGCATTTCTTCCCAGTCCCCCTGAAGGGTATAGAGCTGTCAGGCAGAAGACAAAGAAAGGGAGGGATGCCTGTGTGGCTCTCGAGAGCTATCAGGCAGCTGTGTCTGCTAGAGGTTTCTTAGCAGAGCTCCATCTTGTCTGCAACCTCTCAGGAGCTGCATATGGGGTGAGATCTGCCAACAGAGCAGGGACTGGAGTCCATATGTCTTAGACCCAAACCACCAGCCACTCCATATAGAGTGTTTTCTTATGGAAGCCACCATAAGAGCCTTCCCTTCAGAATATATCTACTTGGGCTTTTATTTTTAGCCACCAACTTATATCATTTGCACCTATGCCCAAGAATAAACTCAAGGAGTGTCTGGTTTTCTGGTAATCACAGCTGAAGGACAACCAGCTACTTATTTGATCCAGGTGAGGTAAGAGAACATTTATTCAGTTGTTTGTTTTTTCTAATCATTCATTCATCAAAATACACTTGCTAGACTCTGTGCCGGCTCCAGGAAATAGAGAGTTGAATAAGACACTGTCCTGAGCTCAGGGCGCTCCAATTCTAGTGGGAGCTCTTGAGCTCTGTAAGATGGTGGGAACCCGTCAGTAGCCGAGGACTCTGCACATACTTTTTAGTCCCAGCTGTAAGTGAAGAATCCGTTAACACTATCTTTTCTGGTGCCTGGAAGATGCAAGGATGTTCCCATTTCCTCTTCTCATAGCACCTTCCCTTAAGTTGAACCCTGGGCCTTCCTTGGCCTCGAGAGAGTCCATTCCCATGCCTTAGTTTCTTCAACCCGAATCTGGAGGTAGCAAGAGCACTTAGGCCCCGGGATGGTGAGATGGAATGCATGAGATCTTTTCTCCTTCTCTTAACCAGGACCTTTACAGAGTTGTACCTGGTGATGCTGGCCGCCAGCCCTCTTCCGGCCCCTATTTCTGCTCACCCTGTTACTAGAGAGCTTGGGGGTCTGGATCGTATCTGGCCCCGTCAGGGTGGATTACCAGATGAGTGGTTCTTTTGCCCCAGTCCCTTTCTTGTGCTATAAATAAGCCCCATGTTTATTTTCTTATGTTATTGAAATGAGCACTTGGGATCTGGGCCTCTTGACGAGTCCAGAGAGCGTCCATCCGGTGCCTGGTGAGGGCCCTGCATGGCTGGCTGCTGTCTGAAGCTATTTGGAGTCCTACCCCCTGTGTTTTGGATGTGGCTTAATTTCAATAGTAAGGTCTGTATGCAGCCCTGTATCTGCTGATTTTCAGGTTTCAGCTTTCTGCCAGCCTCACTGCCTGCTTAGAAGTAAAGTTGTGTTTCTCATTAAGGGGA